AAATGGAGGAACATTCATACAAACGTGTTTGGCTTGACACTGCAGTGGGACCTAGCCTGAAAGACCAATGTTTCACAGCTATAGTCGGCAAACAGAGCAGGCTACCCGTGGGAGGCTGCATCAAATGTTCTAAGAACTGCCAACTATAGCCGAAAATTCTCAGTCTCCCCGTCAGCATCAGCCCCTTGCTAGCAATAGTAGTCAACAGCAAACAATGTAAGGATTCAGCCAAGTTACGCAACTATAAGTAAAGTGGGGGACACAAAAAAGAACTGCCTATTCTTGCGGCTCCCTCAGCGGAAGGCGCTGTGGGTATAGTGGTCTTTTTCGGTGGATCGCACGGATCACCTACCAATATGTAGGATTTGATGACGGTGGGAAGCGACGACAACGAAAGCTCTGAGTCCTCTCAAGCTCAGAAAAATTTTTCTTGCGCCAACCGCAACAAACACACTAGTCCACCGAAGCAAACAGTTCATTGCAGTGCTTTTGAGAGTCCGCAAGTTCTGCAGTTCTTGCTGCAGTCGCAATTCTCTACTTTTCCAACAGAATTTCAGCCATGACCCAAAGCAAATTCTCATTATTTGCTGAGCTTGGAAAATCTTGCATATTCGGCTGAGGGTTCGACGGTTGCTTTTTGTGGCGGCTGATCCAGTCTGGTAGAGGGAGGGTACTGCGTATTCTTCGTGAGCCCATTTTGTGGCTCCCTTCGTAGTAGCTAACTTTCCAATGCAACTTTCATAGTGAAGTTCGTTGACCTGGAAGGCAATTGATTCGCCCCTTTTTGGCTCAGGCTGAGGGTCCCGGCTGAATGGAAGGTGATCGTTCCCTTGCAGCTGGAGAACACTGGTCTGCCTAGCCATATTCAGTGGACCCGAACACGGGAAGAGAGGCATACTACCAGCTGTCTCAGCCAGTTTTTCGAAACTGCCAAAGACAGGGCAACACCTTGTTTTGATGTTGAAAATGGGAGATTCGCAAAGGCTTCCGTGGTGCAGTAAAGTCGCGTCTTCAATTGATTTATTCGGGCGGAGGTTGCCAGGATTCAGGTTGCAGTTTGCATTACACCTCGCTTGGGTTTCGCCTAGTTGAGCTGCTTCTCCAATTTTCTCCTGACCACTGGAAAGCGCCGTTGGGGTTTTCGAAGGATGACGGCATAGCCTTTTCTTTCGAAGTCGCTTCGGTACTTCGCTCCATTGCTGCATAGTGTTACATGGCAACCCTTGTGTTACGGTATGTGATGTTAAAGCATCCTCCGCTCCGCAGCACATGACCTTACGATATTCGACAATGCAACGACGTGACTCTGTAGTGTCTTGTTTGATCGGTCTATAATTCGTTACGCGCTCTCTAATAGGTTGTAGAAACGGCTGTTTAGAGGAGTGTCTTCCTAAATATATAGCCAGGCTGGCAGTGTCATATTTCCTGGGAAGATATGCTTCTGACCGTGCTGTGGTGATCTGGCAAGCTTGTCGTCCGTATTCGCTTCCCTGTCCCGCGTTTTCCGTCTTCTGGGAAGTTCTCTCCCTACACACGGCCGTGTCAGCAGAAGCTCTCTGACAGTGAATTCTACACGTGGCCGACCCTGACGGTGCAGCCACTACTGTCCCCTCCTTAACGCCTTCATCAGTGCTGCTTGAGCAAGCCTCTACCGGAAAACTTCCATCGACACTCAAATTAGAGTAAGACTGCCTCATGGCAGCTACCTCAGCTCCACTGCGTGCAGTTCCATCAGCTGATGCAGCCACTACCCTCCCCGTCATATCATAGGGATGGAGCTGCCATTTACATGGATTTGCAGTTTTGTGGAGGATACCGTAAAGGGCGACGCACTTCCATAGCAGTTAGATGCTGAAGAGAAGTCCGATACACTAAAACCTGCGGTGGCAAGCCTCGCACACTGCAAACCCTGTTGTTCTTCGCTTGTTGCAACAAGGTGTTCTGTGAGCATGTCTGTTACAAGAGCAATCCCCTGGCCCATGACATCATCTGTCCAGAAAATATGAAACCCTGAATGAGTGACCCAAATTCAAGGTCCCCTATTGTCAGCGGTTTTTCGTAGCCACGTTCTGCAGTTCATATGGAACTGCGCTAAATAGCACTTCCTCAATATGTGCCGGTTGAAACGCCAAATATACTCTTAACACCCAATGAAACGTTCTTCCTTCTCTAGTTCACCCTCTATCTTCCAGCCCCTTGACGCTTGCACACGGATCACACACGGTCCGTAGGCAGTCGCTCTCCAAGTAGCAGTGGGCCTTCCCTCTTTCCGTATAATAAATAAAAATATCTCGTTAATTCCAATACGTGTAGTTTGGCATGATTTTGTATTCACATGCTGAACGATAGGTGCAGCTTCCTTGAGCTCATCAGGCAGCAGGGAGGCGTGCAAGCGACGTACTGTTAGCGCCTTCCTGGGGAGAGGTTGTATATTGTTCGTTGTTCAAAAGTACCCGCTTTCTATAGAATGTTGAGGAATTTTTCCTCCATACATATATTGAATTAGCATACCATCCAGTTTTTTCAGCTGCTTCCCAAGCGTAGCAGCAAACTTCATTGGTCAGCTGCGGTGGAGTCCATGTCTGCGCAGTCAATATTGTGTTTGCAATATACGAAGTCTTCCATTTCGACTTTCAGTAGCCTTATATAGAGTGGAAATGCGATATATTCGTGTATCCTTCCAAACCGGTTATTGTGGCGGACCGTGCGATGTTTGGACCGTCGTCCTGGCGTACGTAGGAAGGGAGACGAGATAGTGTCAGTCAGTGTTAGGCTTTCCCATGAGGCCCTATGAATAAAAAAAGGAGCCGCTGGTACATCTTCTAGACGGATGGATTAGGCGGGGTGTGCAGAATACTCTTGGTTGTCCATAGGGGACTCACGATTTTCTTGCAGGCGCTGCCCGCGCCCCAATACACTCAATTTCTCCTCACCTATTCACGGTCTATTTTCTTTACTAGATATATTTTTGTTTCTCCCCATGGGTTGAGGGTACCTGCTGGGCAATTGATAGTCCAGTTTATTCGAACTGTCTAGTTGCTGTTCCCACGTTTCCCAACAGCCTCCTTCTGGTCAAAACGACCGTCATTCTGCCTTTCTCCAGTTTCAGCAAATCACATGTTAAGTGAAAGTCTAGTTGTGAGGCGACAGTACTCATGAGCTGCAGGAGTTCACTGAGGGCTGCCTGCAGTATATCTGTCACCTCCGCTTATCTCGAACTGTGCGCAGTGTTCGTGTTAAGACAGATGCTGGTGACGCTCTACCAGTCAGGAACAAAGGGTAGAAAAATGGGTAGAGGAAAGGAGCTTGGTAGGTTTGGTGCCAATATTCGTCAGTTTCAATGCAAAAAGTTGCACTCTGTCGAGCGATGCAATCAGCAAGGCGCACCCAGCATATGCCCTCAGTGGTAGGCCGTCCGTCACCATCTGTCAATAAAGTTCTCGGCAGACAGGTAGCTAGCGGATGGGGAGCCCTAAGCTGTTCTGGATCCATTCGGCTTGTTTTGGACCTGGCAGCCAACATATATGGACCTTGGGACAAACGAACAGGGTGCCGTACTAGGGAGATAGCAGATAACTAGCTGCAGCGACGAGAAACAAAGAACTGTAGAGCTCATCTAAACGTTTTCCTTATCTGAATGGCCACCCTAGTAGCCATTGTCGCTGTCTATCTCTAGGCGTTCTTGTCGGTTGCCCCAGGAAGCCTCCGAATATTCAGGGGCTTCCCACGATATTACAGTATCTCCACTATCACATACACTCAGTTCCTATAGATATGAACATATAGACGCAGCCTAGACGTCCTGTACACCATGTAGGTGTAAATTCCTGCGGGCGATGAAAGATGCCTCAAGCTTGTTACCGTGTTTGCCCGCAGGAATCTTGATGAATTTTTCTCGATCGCTAGCTTGCTTTGTGGATTGGGTTTTCCAAATGCGCCTAGTTTCAGGCTGAGCAGGCCTCCGCCTCCCTTTGAAGGTGTAAGACCAGTCCAGCAATTGTTCGCTATGAAAGCGTGCACGTAAGGAACACAATATTAGATGTGTCGCTTTGTTTAGGGAGACAGGTGTGGCTTTCCACCACTCATGCATCAAACCCCAACCCCACAGATGCATGCGAACATGCATAAGCACCGCCATACCAAACCACATAGGGGTGTGGGGAGCTTTCTTCTGTGCGCTTCAGACAAGGAGCTACGAATTTTGGTACAAACGTGCACATATAAGCACAGCGTTTTAATGCCAATTCTGCTTTGCCATGAAACAGGTACAGAGCATACTGCAGAGTCATGCAAGGAACGTATGCACGAGAGCACGCTCTAACCTACCACCGCAAACAATCAGACACATCGGAACAGACAAGCAGTTGGATGAGGGCAAATCAACACAAACAGGCACAAAAGTACGAATAGGTGTGAGAGCAAGTGCGTGCAGTCTATATCAGTGGGGCGACGGCCATCAAATGACGTTTCAGCCGGAGCGACTCAGGTGAAACTACATAAAACGCACCAACTAAGGCACTGACGCCTTCGCCTGTTCCTGCTGCAGCGTGCAGTGCTAGGGGTTTGTGTGCAATTGTGCTATTGAACCTCATACCCAAAGTTTGGGCTATGGCTTCAGATAGCGCCGGTCACATTGGGTTCGGCTTGATACTGGCCATGAGTGGTTAAGTGCGTTTGATGGCACTGGAACTTATCTCTGGAAAATAATCCTTTCAACCAAAATCTTTCGACTACACGTAGATATAATTTCCTACTTGACAGCGGATCAGGCTGCGCCACCGGATCCTGGGCATATGGATACGGAGTATGTAGTCTAGTACTACCTACAATACCACGAGTAAATGACGTACGTGGTATGTGCCTTTTTATTCATTCTGGGGTTGCGATTGTAGTTAATACACCATAAATAATAACTATTGATAAGTGTGCTTGTCGCTCCACATATCGTATATGTTGGAGCATGCAGCTGTTCGCACAATCGCTATTCTGGATTACTGTTACTAACATATCTTAAACCATTCCTTGATAGCTCTGAGAACTTCTTCGTTTCCCGGCTCGATGACGAGATAGTGCCCCCGTTCCCCTTCGAGGATTTGCAGCTGACGCTCGGTGATGTGCGTAGCGGACTCGTTTATAAAACGAATGCTACCCTGAAATAACAAGAATTAGTACGAACAGCGAGGAATAATTATGATATTTAGGATGCAACCGATGCAATTCATGGCAAGCATGCCTCAAAAGATAGGCGGCTACACCAACTGCAGTCCTATAATCCTTCCTGTGTGGCTATTGCAGTCGGTGGCCCGTGGCAGTTGCTGCATCTGTACTGCCGTAGCTCCAAAGTATTCACCTGTGGCTCTACAATGGAGTCTTCTCTTGCATGGATGATTTTAAGGCGAATATGCTGGGGGATAGACTTGGCTTCAGCATGCACGCGAGGGACTGCAGTCAACACTTCAGCTGCCATCCGGCATGGGATTTTCAAAGGGCAGGTTACCAACGGGTCCTGCACAATCCGCACACAACGGCTACGTACAGAATAGCTAGTTACACATATATCCACGCCCTGCGCTTGTTTGGTAAGTCGGCAGAGCAGCTACCCGTCCAGCTTGGTATCTAGCTGGCGTATGGCTAGCCAAAGACGTGTAAACACGTGTGAAAACACGTGTGAAAATGCACTGTAGTTCGGTCGGCAGGAAAGTCTGTAACTGGCGCTGCCACTAGTTCCATAGGGAAAGGCACAGGACGTTTTCCGGCGGCAATATACCTAGCTTCGCAAACGCTAAGCTGTGTGGCAAGCAGGCTAAAAGGCTGAATGTAGCAAACTCAGAGTAGGTGATGATTGCCTCCTGTGTGCTTCAACGTGGGCATCGTGAAGAAGGAGTCTGCACTCTATTGTGTGTGTTTCATGCTGTCCGCGTGTTCCTGCTGTGGGTGCTACCGGGTGTACTGGCAGTTCTAGTCATGTCCTTACCTCATCCTTCTGCACGTCAACCCAGCGCAGCCGTGCGGGGGGCAACTTAACAGCGCCAACGTGCGGAGTGACCTTGGAGAGAACTCCGCTTACTTTAGCTATTGCTCTGTTAAATGCACCAGAACTTGCCTTCTCGATGGCCAGCATCGGCGCCAAACCTACACATGCAACGATATGAGCCCGTTGAGAAGCCAAAGCGCCATGCGAAGTCCCGTTGGCAGTAGTAGGAGGGGCAACGACCCCCTCTGGTGTAGCCCCATCTGCCGCATTCCCATCTGCTGCAGCCCCTTCTGCAACAGGAACGGGAATACCACCAGCATGTACACCAGAAGGCAAAAGCAGCCAATGATTTCTCTCTCCCATGAGTTCGAGTGCCCGTATGACGGAGAAGCCGCCCATAGAAATACCCACGAGGCAAATCGGCGGAAGCATATGATTGTCACTATTCTGCTGGCTCTGCTTGCTTAGATCTTCAGCAACGAACTCAGCGAAGCTGATCACATCGCATCCCAAGTCATCAAGGCGTTCAACGCTACAGCGGCGGGCTTTCCATCCCTCTGAGAGCCCAAAACTCTCAAGGTCCCCCGCATAGACAGAACAGCCTGCGTTATTCAGCTGTTGCACCCAGCTCCCCTCGTATATGCACCAACGAAGGTACTGCCTTTCGCCTTGTTTTGAACCGCAGGAATCCTTTCCTACCCCTTGAGTTGCTGCTTCTGATGCTGCCGATGCTCCGTTTGCTGCAGTTGTGGTTCCCCCAGTAGCTGCTGGCAACGCGATGTCCGGCTCTTCTGGTGAGAGATGCCTGAGAAACTCGAACCTCGCATGAGTTTGTACACCATGAATAAACAGTACTGCTGCTTTAGGCTTCTGCACGCGCCATGCGTAGATAGTGAGTTTTAGGCCTTTCGTGTTTACAACACAGGCCTTTTCCGGGTTCCCATCCAGAGGGTACAAGGCCTCTCCTGGAGATGGTAGGCTTGGCTTTTGTTTTCGTGCCATTGTGGCTGCCTTATTGTGTGCTTCTTCCGCTTAGATGACTTGAAATTGCTTGGTTCTCGTTAATTGTGCCTCGTGGATTGTGAACGACTTATCCACGCATGCGACAACTAGTTGTTCAGTCTGCAATGGAAAATGAACTTTTTACGGTATAGCTGCCTCAGCTCGAAGCAAAACCAGAGGCATATGGGAGGTTTCAAGAAGACGGAAGAGAACGCCAACAAAGGCTCCCCCCATGCCCCATACCCCGTGCAGCATACAGTAATTACCCTAAACCACGGTGCACACCCTCTGCAAGCAGGGGTAGCCGAAACTTTCTAAGCTCGACCTTGTACGCAGAAAACTGTCCGCTGGTTCTGCCTATTTGGCAGCACTGCCGCCGCCAACCTCGGACACTCGACGTAAACATGCGAAGCTCCGGTGCTGCGGGACTTAGGAGCGCCGATTCTCAAAGCGAAAAGCCACATGCAAGGAGCCAGACCGTGCATGTATATGCAAGGTGAAGTTCTTTAATACGCATCTTCGTAGATACACGACATGCGGTGCTCCCAAGACGCACAGGGGCCAGTGTCCGGGGCTGGCGGTGGAGGTAGCGATCACACCAAAAGCAAGTGAAAATGGCGTTTTTACCTTCCCCCAGGCATTAGTTTCTTATACTACAGATATTCAAGCATGCTCGAATGAAGACTTCAAGGAAACGCTGGTGATTATGTAAGTCCACAAGTGTAACCTTTGTCTGTCGGCGCAGCTTTGCGGCAGTAGAAGCACTGTCTACAGCAAGAGGCACTAGCCAGACGTTCGTTCGTTTTATTGACTAAAATGCATGAAATTGGAATTTTAGGATATACTGACCGTATATGAAGGTGTTCTCTCACCCCTAATTCCAGTTTCACGACGCTTCATACCCCGTCCTGTGAGCAGCCGCCCCCCAGGCGGCAAGCTGTGGCCTGCCTAGCATGACGGGTCAGTCATCGTAATCATACATATACGTTCTACGTAGATTAATAATACCCGTCTACTTCCGGAAAATTCACATCCAAGCAACCGTCACACCGACTGCCTCAGCAGTACCCTCCAGCGATTACACAATTAATAGCTCCATAGCAGTGTGGAAATAACGAGCAGACTACATTTGTCGTACGCGCGTGTACTCTCGTAGTTCCGCATTTGTTCCGGCGGTAACAATGGGCCAACAAGAAGCAATAACGTCACATAAATGAGGCCTACACCCGTTCCACCCCAAGCCCTCAACATGACTAAGGCATTATCGGCGCAAAGTACTTCTCGGTCCAAAGCTTTCCAAAGCCAGAAAACCTTTTTAACGCCAAAACCAACTCAATGATTTTCCCTGACCACATTCGTTTCGGCAAGGTCCTGAACTCCGTAGTTCCTGTATGCGGTAGGTTCCCAAATTATGCCTTGTCCAATGCACTGAGCCCTACGCCCTCAACAGTAAAGTCCACACGAATATTATATCCTACAGGAAGCCTTAACCTAACTGACTACCATCTGCCCCCTACATGGATCCTATACAGCCCCCTACAGGGATCCTACACAGTACTGGGGCATACCAAAAAACTGAATATCTAAAACCACCTTAGGGTAATGATTCAGATCAAGACGATTAGTTGGGTTCGTTGAGGTAGTTTGGTGTTTAGCCAAGAGTTGAGATGGCTTTGTTGGAAGTTAAAACGGATAGTTTACGAGTACGGTTGTTAAAAAAATGTACGTATAGTTGTTGCGATAGCCGTTTCGAATGCCACTGCATTTTACTGAAAAAAAAATAGCATCATCGGGATGCAGACAATCTTAGAAGGCCGGTGGGGCGATATGCTCGGGCTCAATGGGTTGGCCCAAGGACACCTCATCTCCTGGACTCTCCTGCAAGCATGCACGAAAACAATAAAAATACCGAAAACAAACTAAACCATCGAATGGAAACATCAGTGGCAATAAGTATGGCCAAGAGCAAAACCAGCAAAATTCCAGTTTGCATGGCATGACGAGCCACAGGCAACAAATTACTGGTTGTAAGAAAACAACACCAACAACACCAGATGGATAGTCACGAGCCAACAGTGTTCACGGAGAAGATACTGGAGGAAAACGAAGAGAAACAGGAATGGTGGAGGCGCTGTTACGCGCAAGTGCAGTGCACAAATAGCATGCGCACTGCGTCAAAATGAATTGACAGCCTCTGTCTAAAACATTCGGTGTACCACATTATCCTACCGATACGCTTATCCCGTGTTGTTGCAGCTCCTGTCTCATACCAAAGTGTACGAGGACGCACACAACGCCCATGCTCGCTGTGTATATGCCTGCAACGCACACAGCCCTTAAATCAACTATAGATAGATAGCAGATTCACTACAACTAAGCTGTCGACACACGTTGGCTACTACAGAGGCCAGGATAGACGAGGGAGGCTAGCATACGAACAACGCACAGGCTAAATGATCCAACTCACCCACAAGGGCTAGGACGAAAGAGCTCCTCCACAAAGACAGCGACAGTGATCCTTCAACAGCGCAACAATCCGAAGAAGCATACACCTGAGGAAGTTGTAAATTATTGCGAGTACGCATATTTCGTGTACTGGATGTACAAGTTAAATATATGGATTGTTGGCATAACAGCAGCAAAGAGCGCGATGTACAGAACACACGTATAGGCATACATCGAGGCAGAGGCATACACCGTCCGACACAGAAATCAACCAGCAAGAAGTAGGACTCATGCACTTACGGGGGGAAAATCTCACCATAAAAGATATAAAAGCATCCCTTCCCTCCTGGTACAGTAAGAAATCGGAACCAGGAAAAGAAGAAGGGTCTCATCCTTTCCAAGGGCGGAATGTCCTTGGCCTCCACTGCCATCGTTAGCATCCCGAATAAACTGCAGTCGCAATGCAACAAGCATGCAAGCCGTAGAACTAGCACGGCATGGAATCAACTCTGTCGAGAACCCTATACACTGTGGATGCACCTCCACTTCGCCACCTACGTATATCTCTTCTGCTGACAACAAAATCACAGACATGCTTACATTCAGAAATTACGTAACAATTACTTCCTATGAGAAAAAGAGTGCGCGCATGAATAACGTCAATGCTTGGGACTCTCTAAGGACATACAACTACGTAGAATGTATAGGTGTTGGCTTACATTAAGTACAGCTGCAAAATATAGTTTGAGGGCTCCGTGAGAAAAGAGAAAATGTTGATGCAAGCTAGGCCCGAAGTTAACAAAGTCATAACGCCCCCTGTCAATTGATTCCAAAGAGCAGGCATGCACTTCGACGAGAGCCAAATATTACAGCACGTGCCAAACAAACCTGAGCCGTTTTACGGGTATTCTCTTCGGGTCGTAATGCAAGTATAGAAGCTGTGATATAGCTCATGTTTTTGTTTCTCACCAAGAAAGCAAAGGAAACGCAAAGGCTTGGGGCCCTCCCCTAGGAATTCCGTCGCCTGTTGCAGCATTTTGCTGCCCCCGCTTAACAGTACTTCCTGGAAGCGGCTTGTAGCCCCTCCTGAGACCCAAGCCCCCTCCTCCCCTAAGCCACACGCAGCAAAATGCTGGTTTTGTTGCAGTGTTAACAAAGCCAGTCGCTACTGTCTGCCAGAGACACGCAATGTGAAATCACGAGTCGGCCTAGAGGGTACGAACTGCTGCCCGTCCTACATTCATGCCTGCAGGGGATAACGCCACTGTCAGATGCTAGTATAACTCACCCATGATGAAAGGCGGGAAGAGACGAAAGAGTGTAACACACGTTTCTTGCCTGCTTGTCACAGGCCGCTGGTCACAGCAACAGCCAGAGCTGCAGTGTTGACGTCTGTCCCAACGCTACTGAACTTTTCAAATTTCAGTTTGGAAGTCCTTCAAATATTTGCAGCCTTTTATACATACCATCTACTGGCCACGAAATTTTCTGCAGGGTGGGCTGGTAGTAAACAGGACTGAAGGGCTGGAGCAACAATGGCTGCAGCTGGTCGTTGTGCTAAAAATAACGCATGTGTTTACTTTAAAAGCTTACATGTCCCGCCTGTAAATATTTTGTTTTTCGTTAATTAAATGTCCTTACGTAGGAAATGGTAGTTGTCTTATCCAACCAACTGTGCTTCCTGGATGCTCCGCTCCCTGTGTAGCATGGTATGCCTACAAGCATAACCATCGTTTCCGCTTGGGTTTTCTGGTTAATGAGAATCATGAGAATCAAGTGAATTATCTAGATTTGTCTACAGTGTGGTGCAGTCAGGACATAGATCTTGATTGTGCATCACTTTTATGGTTATCATGCAGCAGAAGTCTCAGTGTCATACGTTTTGAACCACACCCTCAATGCACCAGGATCCAGCTACAGACCCTTGAGCCGCTGTGTACACATTACAGCTGGAGAAGGACTCTGATTTCAGTGGCCCTTCTGGATCTTCTAACACACCTCATTTGACTGTAATGCAGCGCGCTACTGCCCTCAGCCGACGTCCAAGCCTCTATTCACTCGTGTTGTAATGGATAGCTGAATAGCAATTCGCGGGCTAAGACCATCCCCACAGGTTTCCTACCTAGGGTGGAGGATAATGACACTTTTTCCTTCCAGTATTCCTAGACTTTTTGTCGTATACAAAGCAGCACATTAATCTCACACAAGTCCGCCAGTGTAGCTATTGCAATGATGGCCATTAATGAGGTATAAATCCATCAGTGTCGAGGGCATCGGAGAAGCATAATCGGCGGGATGTTAGTAAGTTTGTGTGAAGTGGGGACATGAACCCACCAGCTCAGCCCGAATATACAAAATGTAGGTAGGAGCAAATGTGGACAGCAGTTGTCTAATATACATATTCGTACATACACCCAGACAAGCTTGTTTGTGTGTGTATGTTGTGCTACCTTGCACACTGAGTTGGAGCAAGCCGCGTTGAGGCGTGACAGCGAGCGATGTGTCTCGTGGAATGCCGGCTCCTTTCCAGTCGTTGGGCCTCCCGCCGTTGTGTCGACGATGATTGGAGACTATAGAAAGAGCAGCCTGGCTTACCTGTTGCGAACTGCTTCGACCTGGTGGTGGAGGACCTTAGCTACACTTAGTACCTGCCCAAGGTTGGTTCATAGGGAAAGGTGGAGCAGCGAAGCTTATTCGCTGAGCAGGACAACATGGTGTACAGAGCTGGTTAACGCCAATATTGGAAAATCTTGCTATGGGCCTTGTAGCACGGTGAAACTGCTACCGTATCTTCATCTCGTGCATCGGAAAATACGCTTATAAAGCATGCCCTCGTCCATGCCAACTATCTAAGTATGCGGGATATTGATTGCCGGGTGCAGGGCGTCGGCGGCACTGGAGGGTTGGCTTCTCTCAAGCTGTTCCCTTGTCTTCAAAATATATCCAAAGAGCTAACTTGTGTGTACCTTTGCATCTCGGGGCAAGAAAGCAGCTTAGGCAGAGAAGGCCCAAACAAGGAAAGCTAGGACCATAGCTAGATCAAAAGTATTAGTTTTTTGTCAGCGCAGTTCAACAGTGTTCTAGGCGATTGTACAAATATGGCTCATAGCAAGGGTGCTAAGCGAAGCCAACCAGCCGACAACTGGCTGAACCACGGGATCTTTCAGAGAGAATGGACCCCTTATGCGCTAAAGACGGGGGAAGAGTGAGAAGCTGGCTTGAGAATGATCCTACGGTAGAGCCAAATGGTATTGGTGTTCTGTAAGTTACTCCCTCCAAAAGATGAAAATGGGGAAGGACCGGTGGCATCCTTGCAGGCATAAGCATAGGGTTCCTAAACAGGAGAAGCACCGCTTTGAATACAACAACCAACGGAGCAAAAAACGCATTCAACCGATCACATCGGCTCCCAATCAGCAAGCTTGCAAACTGCGGCGCACTGATGGGGCCCACAACTGCGAAAGCCACGCACGCCGAGCCTCGAAAGCTCAACTCTGTGGTTATCCAATATCGTTTTAATTGTTAAAAGCTTCCAGCGCTTTTTTATACAAGCTGGAAAGCGGCTCTCCTGCCTGGCATACCTGGTTATTTTTCGGTGCAGTCACTCCATTCATGCCTCGTTCTTCTTAGACAGGACACGAGCAGCAGCAAGAAGATAATCGCAAAATGCCACCTTACTCACGAAGGATTCATATCTCGATCATTTGGAATTTTGTATCAATGCAGAGAGCGTATGGCACCCCCTGATGAGACCACTGGACCAAATTTGGCAGGAAGGCGCCACTCATCAGCTCCTGGTGTTCATTTGCATTCACTACCGCGCATCTATCTTACCAGTCCCTAGAAGGTAAGGCGGGATGGATATACCTGCGCTATGCAGAGGTGGTGCATGTAAAGTTCACGTACTCAGCGGTGGCTGTCTTAGAAAGGTCGCTGCTTCAACTGTAATTGTAACAGCGGCTAATATGCAGCACTCTCAACGCGCCCCCTCGTTGGTTCTCACAGATAATGACATTCCTGTGTTCCATCGGCTTGCCTTCTCCCGGAGATCTGCCCAAGGGAACCACAACAGCTACGGTTCTGGGAATATGCTCTGTTGGCTGGCACAACGTGTTCGTCCTGAGACTTATCCGTTCCCCAGGTGGTGGATAGAGGCTTTTTAAGCTTAGCTGGACCTGAAAGGTTGTGGTTGAATCAGCTTTGGTGGCAAGGGCTGACACTATAAGCTGCCCAGCATGTTAACCTAGGTTCCGGCAGCAGATCCAGGGTTTGAGCTGACTGTGGTTGCGTTGCATCATATGCGCACATAAGCTGTGCTTTGTTGTCTATTGCGCAGCTGGAACTGGAGAGGGCAATGTTGCCCGATCCGCCGATGGATTGACGCTCATCTTTTGAAATGAATGACGTCCTCAGAGGAACGGTGGGGCGGCAGGCGCTGTACTAGCTGCAGTTGGACGCTCTGCTGTTCTTAAGTTTCGTGTAGGTGCGATCAGCTCCATAAACCTGAAAAACTAGTAGCTTAACGTATAAGGCATGGAACTAGCCTTCCACGTGGTGCTTGGCTCCGCTTCCTTGTCAACTAAGTGAACAACAGTTGAGGCTAAGGAAGCGGAGCCAAGCACCGCGTGGAAGGCTAGTTCCATGCCTTATACGTTAAGCTACTAGTTTTTCAGGAACTGCCTAGCTATTTGAATTGACGAATAGGACTGGAGCTTTATTTGAAAAACATGCAGCCTAGGGGGGTGGGATCATTGTTGCTTCTCACGTTCCAAACAATTTGGCTGCCGCTGCTAGTGTCCCCGCACTCCTCCGGCCGAGCCCGTATCCCCTGGTTTCTCAGAAAGAGCCACGCATGCAGTTCCTACACCAGTACTAAGGGGTATAAATAGTCACATATGTAAACTGCTTCGTTAGTGCATATGCGACTCACCTTTTTGTCGTTGGCATACCGCGCTCAAGCACAGGTCACGAAATCTCTCAGGCGCAACAGTCTTAGTTCAGAGAATTTCGAATTCGGCACTCAGCGCCCTCCTTAACACACGGTTAATGCTTTGTGCACATCTTATACTAGCGCTGAAATGGAATGCCAGAAACCCGACGCTAATGCCGCAATGATGATTCAGATCATCCTCACGCCCGAAACAGGTTAAAGTATCATGAACACCGTAGGAATTGAGTCATCCATAGGATACCAGAATACGTACTCTGCAGAAGATACGGGGTATTACCTTGTAGCATACAAGCGACAAGCTGTGAGTATAAACCTCGATGCAGCAAGAGGAGGGCGCCTTGCATGCAACATATGCTCTTGCGGGTGCCCTGCATGCAACACATGCTCTTGTGGTGAGCTGATAAGCTGTTCACGTGTCAGGCAAATGCAGTTATAATGCCTGCTTCTGGAGCCAAAAAGAAAAAACTTTTAGCGTACATTTTTTCTGTATCTATCCCCAATATGACGCACAACAATTGCTGAGCAGTGTAGTTTCTTGGGAGGAGCCGCAGAAGCCCCGTGGCGGTGTGGGCCACAAGGGATGTGCTCTTTCTGTTGTAATAACCGAATAGCCCCGATACAGATAGTAGGTATTTGACGGTTCAGTGATTCCTGTTTTACTGCCGGCGACCCAACGGGGAGCCCACGGGGTGACTACGGGCCCCACCGTGCAGGAAGAACAGCGACACAAGCTAAGATGCCCAAACTTGTGTGTAGGAGGACTGTTATACGAAAAGCGGCAATCCGCAACGAGCGTGGGCTTAGCGACTGTGCAACGATGTTTGGTGGGATCACTGCAGGTGACAAGATGGAGACTTTGCCACCGCCGGCGACCAGACCACCAAGTGGCTCTAGGAAGCAGTTTAAACCAGAGGAAGTAGACATTAGGTCTCTCGCAGTCCCCATAAGGGATCCCTCTGTGGCTGTAAGCGGAAACTACTTTTTTGCGGAATCCTAATAGGAAGAAACGCCGACGGTAGTCCGATGACACCAGATTGGTGACGATTGTTGCCGTTGACCAGCAATAGGATGCCTCCTGATTGCATGCTCGCGCTTCTATTGAACAGTATTACCATCCACAATATGTGGATAGGCGACAGCCTTGCTCTTAGAGAGGTGCAATGGAGAGAGTGCAACAGTACAGGCAGAGTCTAGAGTGCAACAGTACAGTACAGGGTTTCACACGCCACCGAAAGACCCAAACCCTGCTTTGGGTAGAGGAGCAGCGAATCGTGCTGTGGTCATCTAGGTGGTTGAGTATATATTAGTCGCTGTCGCAGAGGGTCGCGCAATTGCCATACAGTGCCTAAAACTTGTTTATTGATGGCAGCCTTAACGTTTTTGTACGCTACAACCCTTCTGCTTCATTGGGATTGAAGGATTCCCATCATACGGCAAATACACAGGGAAATCGTGGAATCCAGTTGATGATTGCCTGCAGTCACACGGCAGCAAGGCGGAAAAACACCAACTGCTGCAAAATGTAATACATGCCGTGCACGAAGCCTATCTTGAGAAGCTTGGGATGATCCCAACAAGGTAAGCCACTGCATATTCTCTTTTGTTGCTTCTATCCCTAGAGAAAGAATATGTAAGGCTCTGATGATATCTGGTTGCCAACTCAGTTTGACGTGCAATATCACGGGGCTGCCCAACAGTGGGCAGTTGACCTTCTTGAGGCGTTTTGCTCTTCTCGTGGCCATTATGACCAGAGATGCAAAACGCCTCAAAGTGTTGCTGCATCACCGCCTGTGGGTACCCAACAACACTTGTTGTGCTCTTACTCAGAAACAACAGGGAAATTTTACGGAAAAACCTAAAGCTTTGGAAGTGCCACATATCCGTCTCTTGGTCTCCGGGAGGGTAAGGCCACATGCAAGGCCTTGTAACCGAGTAGTTGCAGGGTTGGAGAGACAAGACAAGAACACCGCTTTAGATAGTCATTAATCACTAGTTCACGAGGGGTCCAGGAAACATTCTGATAGTTGATCAGAGTTTGCAAATATTCTGTTAAGGTGTTCACGTTTTCAGTTGCACACGATGACGAATTTGCAGCTCTTGTCCTGCCACTTCAGACGGGAAGCGGTCGCCCAAGAAGTCATTGTTGACTTTCCCTGCTCCAAACGGCAGGAGGCTCCTGAAGAAAATGATATCGCAGGAACTTCCACAGAATATGAAACAATTGTCAGCCACTTCCTCCATGTTATCTTCGAAAGCTCGGAGCGATTAGAGCAGGGCAGAAACTGCCGCCCAAAGGTCTCAGCCATCCCAGCTACTGATGCCGTTGAAGGCTCCAAACCTGCACACAGGAGGACACCGCTACACAAGGTTGAGGTGCGGCTTTACCATTGCAGGATACTACGCTCCCGCCCCTACCAAAACGCAGACATTCGGAAGACTATGAAACCAAAAAACGCGAAGGGGAAATTCATGCCTCACGAGACGCAGAATACATGTATGCGCGTATGTGTCCCTCCCGCTCGTCAAGTTCAGGAACTTTCGCAGATGTGCAGATGCATACGGTAACAAGCTTGGGTTTAATTGACCAACTTGCAAATATTTTCCAACGTCTGTCGCCTCTGTCATTTCTTGCTGAGCCATCATGCATACTGACAGAGGCAGCAGGAGTTGGAGCATACCTGCAGTTTGGTCAATTAAACCCAAGCTTGTTACCGTTGTTGTGCAGGCGCTCTACCAATTTGTATAGGATGCTACAGCGGTACAGCTCCAACCCCACTGAGCTTGAGGAACTGACCGAGCTCTCATTTTCGAAACCGGCCTCACAAGTACATAAGCGTTGTACGCACTGGAGAAGACCATCGCAAGAAACTAACGAAATTCAAGAGCAAGCAGCAGCTCCAGCCTACGCCGCCCTCTCCGTAGCAGGAAACCGTCTGATTGAGGCAGCATCAGGCGAAGCCAGCAGGCGCAGGCCTCTGTCGTCAAACTCGCGAAAGTCGATGTTCCTAACTCTCTCCAGGCATTTAAGCGCAAGAACGTTCTCTCGCAGTGGCAAGCCACAACCAACTGGTTCCAATTCTCCTGGCCGGATGAGACCGCAACGCGCAGTACACGCGTTAGCAACTGTGACAATATGAACAAATAGACAACGGCCCATACCCTAGTAAGTTGGGCGTGGGCGCCCTTGTTTTTGCGCGGCGCAGCGACTGTGCTCATCCCGACGGAGGCGGTGAGCATCAATACGGGAGAAAGGCAGAGAATATCAACAGCAAGGAAGCACAGTGAATGGCCGCCTGCGCATCAGAGCGGAAGAAGGCAATACAGTAACTCATTGTCCAATAATCAAGAAGTGCTGCCAGCGTTGGCATCCAGAAGCACATCAAGATCCACCACTACTGCGCGCACGAGCAGGGAACTCTTGTCGGTCAGAGTCCCAGCGCGGATGAAATGGAGCCGCTCGCACCGGTCGTATCCAAGTAAGAGACGTCCATAGGTAGAAGACCAGTTGACTCATTGTTCGCCCATTCAAACATAACAGTCCCGAATCAGGCTGATTATTGTGGCCTTTGCAGCCCAGTGCAGCCCTGCGGAGCAACAAGCAATGCTCGGCGACCTTCGCAACAGTTTTATTCTCCCGTATGCAGCATTCAGAAGATTGCCGCTGGTAGGTTTTTGAAGCATGATGCCTAATAGTAGACAATTCGAATTCACGATTCCTCCTATTTGGGGAACCATGAGTTATCGTGACTGCACAGGGCGATAGCGGCTGGGCGGGAGGTACAGCTAGACACACCTGCAACTGCTTTTTGAAGTGAAGATTTGGACGAATACTGCTGCAGAATGGAGAATCCTAACTGCGTCATTGTGCGATCCCGTTATCAGGGAGAATGGAAGGTCGTTCATTGGTCTGCATTAAGAGGAGCAGACTTTCTAATGCCAATAGCGTACCAAAACTATCAGGAATCTACAAAACCTCTAACGGTAACTCCCAGACAGATATGCTGGCACTACTTCGTGAGGTTCAACAACTTTTAAGTGGGTGATACTGGCCGTTTTTGTGTTATAATAAAAGAGCTAGATGTCCTGTTTTATAACCATGGTCCCTGCAGATATCCCCGAAAATCATGAGGGGTCGCATAGTGTCGGTAATTGGCGAGCGCGTGCCGCTTGAGCTATTAACGCATCGGCCCCTTAGCCCAGCGCAACTGGCTGAGATCCAGGTCTTCCTGTCTTCAGGACCAGTAGCTAACTTCGCGTTTACATTTTGTCATCTTGTTCACTGGGTCGCGTTTGGGCAGACCCAACGTGATGCGACCCAAGACAGTTTTGATGGTCGCGCAGTCGATATACAGGGCTATGTTGACAGCTATTGTTCTCCTAATTCTTCAACCGCCGAAACTGTTGTCACTGTTGCACCCCAAGCACCCGACAGCAGACAACGTTCAGGGCAATCAGAAAAGCAGGCTGTCTTGAATCAAGTCCAGCATAGCCTGAAAGGGGTAAAACCACCATTCGCAGCAGAAGCGCGTTGCTCGCCACCTGATGTAGATCCAAACTCCGCAGAAAATATTCTGAGAGAGGAATTTCTGCGCCTCCGTAGAGCAGAACCTAGCAGCAGCCTCTTGGAAGGAGGAAACTCCAGTTCCAGTCGAGTGATCCGGAGATGTGGCGTACTTCAACGTTCATCCCAAAGGGAGCCGACTGGAGGAGTGTATGCAGTAGAGACCTGCGAAGAGCTTGACACTCCACTCAACACGTGTAGGAAAAGGATGAAGGTGCTTGCTGCAGCAGAGGCTGCATATCAAGATGTTATGAGCAAGATAAAAGTGTGTCAGGGACCACATGGATTGCGGCGAGCACGATATTCTAACCACTGGGGCTACACAACGGAAGTGCCTTTTTTTTTCCAGTGCATTGCCTGTTCCATAGTGCGTGATGCAACTCGGGTAATGCGCAGAGCTCATATGGATCATTTGGCATCTCCCTCATATGTCCACTGTCGGTGCTGGCGGTGAAAGAGGCCGTGGCCTGGGCTTTAAGGCAGCACTTGCCAAAGCTGCTGAGGAAAAAAGCTCTTCAGCTCGAGCTCGCAGATCGTATCAACGCTCTCTTTGCTCAGCTGTTCGATCCACAAGGATATTTCTCTAGGTAAGGCTCGATTAAAAAAAGCTTTAGGCTGTTTCAGGCTGCATTATACGCTGCTACCATAACACCAAGCGGTCAGAGGCGAGGATACCGCAATGATTATCTGCAGGTTTCCTGCAATCGACGCCCATCCTGTTACCCAACAGCTTCAAAAAAAGGTGGGTTTCGCCTATGAGTTTCCTGCTGTTCGTAGATGGTATATGACAATGAAAGAATGTTTGGGCCCATAAAAATGAAGAACTCGGCTCTGTATCTATTTGTCTTTAAACGAAAACTGTGCCAGCGGAATCTAAACATTTCCCAACAATTCTAGCAGGGGAAACCAAATATTCGTGTGCATGTTGCTCAGCTAGAGAAGTACCAGGCCAATTGCCCTAAGCCGCCAGCGTCTACAGCTGAGTGTTTTCAGACCCTCTCTACTCCTTTGGATCTTAGCAGGTGTACTCAGCATATTGAGTCGGAGGTAAAACAACTGCAGGGTCAGGTCTTCAAGCAATCGTCATTCTTGCATCTGAGAGAGGAAAGAAAGGCAGGGGTAGGGGATTCGCAAGCCAAAGAAGAAGACCCACAGCACAAGTTGTTGCGACTCCAGAAGGAGCAGCAGGAACTTCTCGGCCGTCTTGATCCCAAAGCATTCGACCCTATTAGCAACTGGAACTGTCCCGGTGAGCCATTTCTCTGATGGTCTAGCCCGGACACTGAAGACTCATTGCCCGTCCACAGAAAGGAATGGCTGTGCCGTTGCGTGGCGTAAGTAGGGGCCAATAGCGAAGCTGGGGCTTTAAACATATTTTAGGTGCAGTTTGTGTCAGTCATGCCAAGTCAGTTCGTCACGAGCAAAAAACAGTTACAGGAGCTAAAAGCAGCTAATCTAGCGGTCTTGTAAAATTCAGGAACGCTACCTCGCCTGCCACAGGAACCCCAGAGGCAAAGTATAGGTCCGCTTTCAACGATCCGCAACAAGCTTTACTCGTAAGTATGGTCATACTGTCGGGCCTCCTAGACTTTCGTTCCTGCCGTCTTCTAGACACTTGCCTAAAAAATGAAGCTTCTACGACGCAACCCAAACCGGCTGTGTTGCGTGGAGGCATGCTGCAAAATTTTTTTTCTCAGTGAAGTGTATGCATTTCAGAACCAGCCGTGTCAAGCTGTACGAAATGGTCGGCGCCTTCCGGCATAGCGACCAGAGGATACGAGCGCTGACGCAGCAATCCAGGCGGCACCACTACATGTACTCGGAGTTGCAAGGGCCTAGAATGGTTCGCAGGTGTTCTTCCTCCGCTACCATCTCTCCCCCGAGGGGAGTGAAAGGGAGCAAGCCAAAGTATTCCAAGAACTTGTCGTTGGGTGTAGTAAAGGATATCAAACCTCGGAAGGCAACAATGCAGGCCAAAACACTCGCTGTGGACAGCGAAAGCTCCACTGGAAAAGAGCAAAGCACAGTCGCCTTCGAATGTAACAGCCCAGGTGCTGATTTGGCCCAAGAGGTATGCGTCACTCTACATAGGTCAGCAAGAGACTAACAACTGCATGTCTTGGACTTCTACAAGGCTCTTCTTGTATCGCTTTCTACACAGGAAGGGGTGCAAAAAGATGAAACGGATGAGAGAGCGTTGAACTCGGACAGAGGTTCGTGTGGGCCGGAACCTCCGGAAAATCAGCAGGCTGACTGTGATTCCGGTTGGCGGATTGTTTCAGTTAGGAAACCGTCAAGCACGAGAAAACTACGCATGTCTAGAATTCATGACAAATCTCGAAAAGTCGCTGGGGAACAGACGCAGGCAAGCACTTCGCGTCCACGGGATTATTGAGTAGTTTGAATCGAAACCGTAGGCTCTTTTCCCCTTACGCCGAGAGATGCTTATAGTAAGGACTATTTATTGCTGGTGTTTTTCAGGTGGTGGCGACAAAAGATTCGAAACGCCGGGTGACTACCGTGTCTAGACTACACGATAGGACAAGCAACACGGAGGACTTACAAGGTAGGTAATTCAAGTCTCAAGGGAAGTCTTGGATTTCTTCTCCAACAGCACAGTATTGCCACTGAGGTTTTTTTCCTTTTTCCTGTGTTGTGTAGGTGAATGCGGTTTGCTCGATTCTATATATTCATGCCCGGATTCGCGACACAGAGAGTTTAGACGAACACTGATTGCGACTGTGGAGGAGCAAGCAGGGCAAGAGCCGGAAGACACACAGGACCCAATACCTTTATTTCTGTCAGAGGCAGGATGCAAACAAATCGGTATTATAGGCTGCTACGGGAAGCGCAGATCAGAAACCGCAGCTAGCCACCACCACAGCAGAAAGACGCCTCAGGAAGTGAGAAGACATACCGCAGGGGATCCAGCGGTTTGGAATGTAAGGCGTTGTGTCCCTAGATTGAGTGGTTTGGGCACCACGAAGAAAAGCGATTGCATACATCTAGATGTCACAGAGCTTTCCGAAGCCACTGCGCATGTAAATAGTGGAACGGCCTAAAATACACATCATCTTGAGTATGCTCATGTTGAGAGGTCTTGGTATCGGGATTAATATGAAAAGACACACATAATGATGTATCTGTCATTAACAGCAGGGAAGGCCGAAACAAGCCGAACTTTTCCTAAATCTATGAATTGTTTTCAATTTCCTGGAATAACATAAATGCTTACTCAGCCAGTGAAAAAACCAATGCTTTACTCATCGTTTGTACTGTAGACCGCTTACAGCAGCAAAGCGGGCACCAGCTAACGAGAAGTAGCCTAGCTCAACTGGTTTTCCAAGAAGGAAGATATAGCATTCTGGGGTACCAGATTATAGGCAAGCGGTGTACACGTTTTCTAAAATAGGCGAAAATCTAGAACGGGAGTGCGCAGCGTATATTAACACAACTGAGCAACGGGGCTACAGAATTCTTGAAGGAGGACGCTCGGCATACCAGAAACGCATACAATTGGAAGCCATTTGTGTTGGTGTTCGGTTCACCAAGACAGGACCTTCACGCTTTCTGCAAGGAAGACGCGAACCATCTTAAATCGTAGTGAGATGCAGTAGGAGCCAAACTCAAATGAAGGTGGGTTTTTTGATTATTAAACAGTGTCTTTAAACTATCAGGATAAGTCTGACAACCCCAGAGCACAATGCTATTTGGAGCATTTGGGACTGGCTTGAAGGTTCAAACTCAAAGTGGAGAAGCGCTGCCCATATGAAGCCACACGATTGTACCGCATTGCGTCATATGGCACTTCTGCTCTAGGTTTGGAAGTTGATAGTAAACGTTTCCTGGTAACCAGCTAGTATGACGTGGGTTAGGGGATGCCATTAGGACAGCTTTTAATTCACGTTGAATGCAACATTCAACACGTCCCTATCAACGTCAATCAAATTCCCCTATGTGCATTTTAGTGCTTTGAGTAATATGTAAAAAGCAATTGAAAGTGTACCCCGCTGTGGTTTGTTTTTACATGCGAGTGGACAAATAGTCAATTAGACGGTTAACTTTTTTTTTTACCGCTGCTGAGTAGACAACTTCAAAAATATTGCCATTTAGCTTGCAGCGGCCGGTAATATTTTAATATAATGTAGTCAACTATTGTGCACTAACGCAATCCAGCATCAAATTCCTAGAATGATCACAATTCTCCAATTCATTTCCCGTGACTGAATCTTGATTTTCAACAAATTTGTAACTTTGCCACCCACTCAGAGAGTACTGGGGACGGCGCTATCGAGCCTTTTCCAGGAAAGCGCTAGTTTCGCACTGCACTCAGCAAACGCAGAAAACATTGGTCATAAAATTCCCCTATATAGATTGTAATGCCTTGAGTATGTAAAAAGCAAACAAAACTGTACCGCGGGGTGCGCCCCTTTTACATGCGGCTGTACAAATGGTCAATAACATGGTGAAAACAAAGAACGGATTTTTTTTTTTTATCCCTGGGGGGGAGTCGGCATCAAAAATATTCCCACTTAGTTTGCAACGGCGGGAAATTTTTCCTTCAAGGTTTTCAAACGTGGCAATGCACCATTGAAAAGCTAGACGGATAACAATTTTTCAATTCATTGCGCGTGACTGAATCTTGATTTTCATCAAATGTGTAAATTTGACAGCCAAATCAGAGAGTACTGGGAACGACGCTCCCAACTGTTTTTAAGAAAAACTCTAGTTTAGCGCTGCACTCAGCAAACCCGGAAACGAGCGTTGCCCAAATAATTTCTAATGCACGATTTGTGCCAGCATTAGTTATTGTTTTGAGTGTGGAACCCTGGAAAGCCAAAGCGGGTGAATTACTAATAAGGCTCATGTGCACGCCATGTCATTTCGAACTTCCCAACATCTTTAGCCAATTTTTGGCTCTCTGCTTCCTATATAGCCTGCGCGACTAGCAACAATAGAATACCAAAAGCCAAACCTCTTTTTCCTCAAGTGCAAAGTTTCGCAATACTCAGTGTTCTACTTCAGTTTATATTGCTCCCCCGCAGGGAGTATTCTGTCAACGCATAAAGATGATAGTCGTAAACCCCAATATGTGCATCTCTCTTACGGAAACTTGATTTTCGCCTATTGAGAAGGCGTGGTTACCATCAAGCGCATATTTTCTTGGGCGAAAAAAGGCTTAATACTAACAAAGTGAAAATACATTATGTGCTGGATTCGGTCTTTGGCTGTGGTGAAAAGTTGTGCCATCATATATTACTCGAGATTCTATCAGTTCTTCCGTACTCTTCTTTCAATAAAGGTTTTCGGATTACCTGCCACTGGATTACATAACAGGAGTTCGGTGATCCCTTTGGTAGCAATGCCGCCTCCTTCTCCCTGCTCCTGTGTTGTTCAAAAAAAAACGGGAGAAGGTCTGTTCGCTTACTACCGCAGTTTAGCTCTTCTGCTTTTTCAAACTATGCATGCAACTGGCAAGTGAAATGCCAATGACTACCTTGCGCTATGCACAAATGAACAGGCTGTCTGCACTGAAAGGTCGTATTCCACTGGCTATCTGAATGCCTACAATAAGTGATAAAACTTGCACAATTCTTCTCAAGTTTGCCACCACCGAATTGCTTTTGAACTAAGCCGCTCTAAATTATTCCAGTATTCCTAAAATGTATATGTTTGACTACGATGTTGGTTGCAGTAGCATACGTACCACCAACACAGAGAAATAGCTATGCAGGAGACCTCTTACTTTGCCTGTTCACGCAACCAAGCTGCTCTTGGTTCCAATTGTTCTACCAAGCGCTATTTGCTCTTGTCCTAGAAGCGGCCCTGGTTCACGCTTACTACCATACACCAACACAAATCGCTCGAAGCATTTATGTTGAGCATAAGCACCTTCGTAGTTCTCATAATTTGTAATGTCACTTTTCGAATCTGCCACGGAGTGCCTCCCAGGTCGCCATATTCAAAAGCGGAAATTCGGCTGCTAATGCCACTTTTGCCAGTGGCCCAATTACTACACCTGCCCCGGGACTGTGTAACTGTGTTTTCTGCTCTCGGGTAGCATATTTAGATATAACAGGGCAGGTTGGCTCAGTTGCGCATTTGCTCGAGCTTTGTGCAACTGCGGCAATTCACGCTTTTGCTGCTCTCCGGTGGCATAGTGAAAACAAATAGGGCAGGTTGGCCCGGTTACGCATTTGCTCGAACTGCATGCAAATGCGGCAACTCACTCCTTTCCACCCATATGGAAAATTACGTTTAGAATTTTTCGGTGATACGTGAAACAGCCCAGCTTGGCAACCAGCAGGAACCGTGACTCAGACGCCGTTCAACAGCATCATAGAGCTATTTCGCTAAGATCATTTGGCACAGCGCCTGCAAAGCTCTAATGCGAAACAGCTGAGCTTCAGACAACACGATTCAAATCAAACAGCACCAAACCCCTGCACCAATGGTACACGCGTGTACTAACCAACATGCGAATCTGCACCGGATGCCTTAGTAGGTTAGTCCGTGATATATTTCGGAATCTCCTGAAGTGTTAACCACCGCAATATATCCGCCCTGGCAAACATTTCAGGAGATTCCGAAATATATCACGGACTAACCTGGCTAATTCAGACAGCGATATGCCAGCAATGTGTCTACAGCCACTTCCCGCAAGGTGTGATGCAGAATTAGTTTCCTTTTGTTGTTACAATCTAAACGCTGTTCCGTTAGCTGTTGAACAGCAGACTCCTTTACTCACTGGCGGGCGAATCGCGCATTTGTGTGTGCATAGCACTACAGCCTAACAATAAATTCTGCACATATTCCAGCGAAGGATACTGTTGGTAACCAAATCGCACATTTGTAGGTGCATAACCCTCAAACCTAAAAATAAATCCTGCACGTATTCCCGGTAAACACACACTAAGAAGACGTTTCGCACGACGCTTTTCCCCAGGCCTGCAATTGTTTTGAGCCGGCACGACGGTGAAGGATATTAACCTCACGCAATGAACCGATGCGGGATTTGGAATATCGTCCACTTCCACTGTCGGCTGTAGCTGCGCCAGCGAAGACAAGGCAACAACAGGCCCTGGAAGGCATTTTTTTGTAGTTCTTCCCGATATGCCTAATTTCAAGAACTGCAGTGACATACAGGCTGTCCATCGCCATAGGCGTTTTGTGGTTTTTTTATACCGTTGGGGTGCCGATATATACAAGAACTCACGATACACACTGAGTATAAAATCATACTAGAGTATGGTGCACCAACCGAAAGCGTAGGCGCAGTTCGACACAATGTGTAACACTGTCCCTATGCATAGACATTGTGTCGGGCACGGCCTAGGTTTCCAGCCAATTGACAGCCCGCCTAGGAGTGCTCACTTTATAAGAAGGCATTGTTCCTAATCCACCAGGAAATTGCATGCAACGGTAAGGCACGCATTCCTGTTGCCAGCAATTCAGCGATAGTTGGTCCGACTATGATTCAACCTGACTCGGCAAGAATGCCGCCAGTGCTTACGGCTGCTTGCAGTTTGCAAGGAGTTAAGAAACTGCTTCTTATTATTCCGTCGGACGAACCAGGAGATTGTGCCCCTGCGGGTGAACGTGAAACAACTTCACATGGGGCTGCACCCCCCAGATGACCGCAAGCATGACCCGCTGACTGCATCGCGCGACCGCGTAGTCCTGGAAGCCGTTTCACAGGTTGAGGGAGTCGGCCGATCGCTCAGCAAGTGGTTGCCCTCAGGGCCGTGACCTAGGCCACGCCCACTGTTACACCCCTCATCAATGCAGCCGCAAACCGGAAAGTGCAGTAGTGAATTGCTCCCTGCTTGAGTTCCTCTCAATGCTGTCCACTCATATACATACATGTTTGCATAGAGCAGTATGCGCCTGCGTCGTCGCGGAAATATTTCTACTGATAAAAGCGGTGAAGGGCGATTTTTACGTTGTTTTGGCTCAGCAAGCTGTTGACTGCAGGACCATAATTCCGTGGCTTTCTAGAGATTCCCAGAGCGATTCAACATGGTTGCCACCCTCGTGCGGACGACTGGATGGGCGTACACGCTGAACCACGAATCTCCATTCGTGGTTCAGCGTGTACGCCCATCCAGTCTGTTGCCTCTTGCTCGCTAGGGAAGGCTTAGCCCCTGGATACGAAACGGAAACAAACAGGCTGGGCTACACACTCCTATTCGTACTTTAGTTACAGTGTTTCTCTTTGTAGCGGATATGGCGAGTTCATGGAAACACAATTCGCAAAGGATTTCATACATGCGAGAATTCTCTGCTGACATTTTGAGAAACCGTTGAAACCCCCTGTCAGTTTCAGTAGCTGTCCAGATGTGCCAGCAAACAAGAAACTTGCTAAACATGACGCGGAACAAGTGCAGCAAGTGCACTTTCTCAGTGCATGGTTTACGACATAATACGTTTGCTGGACGCCATTGGCTGGCGATGCTGGAATAATATGTCGGTTACCGTTGACGCTTCCCTTTGTTGATGTACTGACTCCTTTACTGTGGCGTGCTGACGGACGGATGGCAACTAATTCCCAATGCCGCGGAATATGCAGGTAGCGACCGCTACCCGATTGCATCGCCATCCATTGACAATCGTTTGTCGTTGTGTGCTACACACTGTTGTCGCATGCGAAGTAAGGTCCGTTCCCCTCCTCACTGATCATGAAGGCTTGCAAAGCTCATCGTTTAGTAGCATCAGATGCAGACATATGATGATGTGTCTGTGCCCGCACGAACGGTACATTCCCACAAACGTTTGCCAAACATGCACAATCGTTCCTGTTGATGCAACGTTCGTCGAACAACTCGCTCAGTTGTTAACGTCTCCACATTATGCTAGAGCACGTTTGCTCAAAATGCACAACCCTACTCTAGCATGCTGTGTATTTCCCTGCTGAGAGCAGGGAAATATGAATATTGTGAATATTCCGGCATGGCTAGTGCTTAGAGGAGACGGATATCCTAAGCATTGACCATGCAAACCCATAATATTATATCCTAAGCACAGAGCAACGCTAACTAAAATTTGCAGGCACACTTGCAAGGTATTCTGATGATGGCTACTTAAACGTATTAGGAAAAGTAACCTTATTCGTATGGTCGTTTTTCTGATTGCGTAGGGTTGACCTGAGCCACGGTGAACTCAGATAAGCTATTGTAAAAGTGCCTAAAGCAACCACACCAGTAAGCAAGGTTTCAGACAAGCGGAGTATAACACATTCAAGTCCCGAAGCGGTCTTCGACACAGCCCACCAACGTCAGGATTGTATAAGGCTAACTGCTCAACTGGTTGATCAGGTGGTGAAGCCGGTACTGAAGGGAGGTGAGGTAAGCGGAGCAGCCAAAACAGTCAAACGTCGCCTACGCTGCACCTCAGCATGTAGTAATCACAAGTCCATACAGCCCCCTTGGTAGGAGAACAGCTGCCCGAGAATGTGAAAACCTTCTGCAAGGGAAGGATGGAAGGTCTAGCGTACGCTTTCCGATGCTGGCAAGGCTGGTGTAGCTCTCTGTCTCATATATCTACACATCGGACTGGTCAGATATTCTTCCGCCAGTTATGCCGTAAACGGAGATGCGCCTGACTGTTTCATCGATGCTCACAGCCCGTGCTTGGGACAATTCACAGCAATATGTGTAGCACAGTTGCTGTCGGTCAACAGTGGACGCGCTGCTACCGGATGCTGCCGCCCCAGTTATCTGGAACTGTGACACGACGGAAGGTTGCCTTTCTTTTTTCTTTGTAAAACGTCTTGCTGACGCGGGGATCTTCTCGGACGTGACGGGACGCGCGCGCATGCTTGACCCAGTGCGAGGTCTTCCACCTTGGGCATTGGTGGATACAACTGTGAGCTCCAGCGCTTCTCGTTCTCGCCTCCACCCTTTGTAGGTCCAAAGTATTGAAAATTAGACCACACCCCCTGTCTGTTGGGTCAGCTTCCTCTCGCATAATCAGATGCGGTCTGCTAACTATGAATATGGCGCATGCCCCGTTGCAATGAATAAACACGTCAGCGTGCTTTGGTCAGAAGACAGCGAGGTTCTTTGGAATCTTAACTGCAGATAGCTTTGCTGGAAGCACCCCATGTTGCGCACGACGCTGCAGATAGCTGGAACATGATTCTGCACGTGGCCTGCATGCGCACACCAAGCTGCAAGCACGCTCAAACCACAGGGCATCTGGCTACACGCGTATGTTACACAGTGAGAGGAAGGTATACCTATGTAACAGCAGGTTTACACCACACACACACAGACACACACACACACACACACACACACACACACACACACACACACACACACACTACTACTACTACTAAAGGTTCAGCCTCCGCCTCACGTGAGCTGGCATTTGAGCATACCAGTTCATCGCTATTACCGCAAAAGAAAAAAGAATGAAATGCACAGATTCCGGGTATGGTTGCGGTCGCAGACGGTAAGATGTTTTTCTTCTGCAATTTCCATGTGCATCTGCAGTGTTTTACTATGCGGTAAAGACTGAGTTTAATGTTGCCCTGGGTATCGGTAAGGTAATGAGCGTCGTACGTGCTCAAAAAAAAAAATTCTGTGCTTAACCAGCGTCAGCCGGTTGCTTTCTTGTGCTTTTTCAGCCTTGCATTGCATCGAGCGCCTTTGGCTTGGCCCCGCTCTCGATCTCCATGAAGGCACAGTCCTTGTAGCATGGTAGGCAGCTGTGTATTTGCACTGCTACTGTTTGCCAAAGGTCCTCCCAGATACGATATATCTACGCCACGATGGGCCCTTGTTTCGTTGAAGTCTATGGACTCTTTGTGTGGAAGACTGGAAAACAAAGAAGCCCCAGGGGGACACCAACTGGGAATAATAGCACAGACATCCGTACTGCTGCTTCTGGTGTACCGATCAACACTTGCACTGCAAAGGTCTCCTTTTATCCAACCAGGACCGTGAGGTGGGGTATGCCGATCGTCACTGGTTCCACAGCGATTGACCTTCAACAGGTATCTACTCCCGGCTCTGGTACCCTTCTGAGCAGCGATTGCCTGGAGCCCTGAATTAAGGCAGCAAAGAACAATGTTAGGTTTTCTTACTACATTTTCTGCCCAATGTTCCTACAGCTTGGGTCATGTGGCCGCAGATTCCCTCTAGTGATACATGACCCTCTGGAATGCGTAGCTCCTGAAAGAGCTGCATAGCTTGCACCACACCTGAAGTGTCAGACGGAGGGTCACGGCGAGACAACAAGGATCCGGCGCCACTACTGGGCGAGATACCCGGAGCGACCACTCCCACAACACCGAGATTCAGAGCCGCCAACTCTGGTACAGCTGGAGGTGGCTTGCTTTTGGGAAGAGGCCCGAATGCGGGGCCCTCGGCCTTCGGCTGCACCACTGATCGGTTCTTTGACGGCTTTGCCGAATAGCAAAGTAATAGTGGCTGCTGCTGCTGCAATGTTTGGCTGTCCAGGGCAGGCTGTGTCCCTAGCGGCGTTTCTGTTTCATCATTCGCTGCTTCAGACAGGGGAAGCCCATGGTCTTCGCCAATGGGAATCCCTTCGCTTATGCAACCAGGTTGCTTTCTTTGAATATCTTCGACTGAAACAATCTCCCCATCGATCATCTGTAGGTAGGGGAGCTGCTCAGCTAGTACAGAACGCCATTGACGACGTTGGCAGGCAGGATTCTGCTGAAATCTGCATGAGAGAAGGGTTGCACGGTCCCAGGGGAGGCGGCATGTAATCACGCGACACACGAGCTAAATCCGAGCGGGTAGGCTCTGAGATTCAACACATTTGGATTTTGAATTCATGGCACAGGTAAACATTCCCTTTCCTCAAATAATTTCACATCACAAATAATTACAACAGAGAAATTGTCAAGTCTTCATAGATGTTGCTGCTGTGCACAGTACCTTAAGAAATGCTCTTCAGCAATATTCAGCCTGTTAGTTTGTACGGTGGGCTTACCCTATTCGCGTAAGCTTCGGTAGCTGAACAAGGCACTCTGTGTGAGTGAAGTCGGGTATCCTATTTTGAGCAATTCGAAGCTCCTCCAGATTGGGTAAAAATGGAAAGCCGGACAAAGACCTGTGCAGCAAAAGGACAATTTGCTTGTTTCAGTTTTTTCCACATACATCATAATTGCCTTATCTCCTCTAATACTCGGCTATAAATTCTCTGGGACACGTAATGATCCACAAGGGTGTTCGCTCTGGTGCACAAGGTGGCTGCTGTGTCAAAGTAGTTGGTGGCTTCGCGGATGTACCTGAGTCCATTTCGCTCCATTATCACACAGCGCAGAGTATCGACAGCTCCATGGAATGCGTCTGGATCTATCCTTCTTATTCGATTATCGCTTAGATCAAGCACCTCTAGCCTGCAACAGCTGCCAAGACCTTCCACCCTTGTGAGGCTGTTTCCACACAACTGCAGTACCCGAATGCTCCCTAGCGGTGCTGCTGCCAAACTCTTTAGACTGCGGAGGGAGTTGAAACTGAGGTCGAGGCGCTGCACACAAGGCAAAATGGAGCAGAACAATTGTCAAATTAGTTGTCTTGACCCGATGGAGGACTGCCTTAACTGCATTGCACGTGGGAAAACCAGTGATGCCTATTCACACCTCCAGCAGTGGCAAAGACATCAGCCCTGGTCCATCAACCCCACCCAAACCCCCTGCTGCGAGGTCAATTTTGTTATTTGCTACAAACAGCTCCTGCACGCATTCACAGAGGTTAACTTTTCGCTCTTCAGCTGAGGTATTCATGGTGCAAATGGAGGAACCAGGCACTGCATATGCGTAGGGCACCTGAAGAGCGGCTGCATATGTTCTAAAGCTCCATCATATTGAGGACTAAGTGTGCAGTTAGGTCACTGCATTTGCAGCTTCTTTTTCCCCTAACGTTTCACTGGATATGAACTGTCATGCTACATAGCGGGTTATGTTGGTACAGTGAGTTCGAAAACTATACTCTCAAGAGGGGCAAAGTGCCCAATGAAGCCAGACTTGTAATTTTGTTTTGGTTTAGATTAATGCTAAGCAGAAAAGGAAAATTTTGCTCGGTTATGACGTCCGAAATACGACGGAGGCGATGACCCGACAAATCCACGGACCTACAACGGAAGAAAAAAAACACGAACGCGTGCAAGAGCCGTTAGTGTTCGCTTACGTCATCCACTGTGCTCAGGATGGTTCATATGGCATAAGTAGGCTAGAACAGCCAATACTTAAGCGGAAACTGATTCATTGAGTTGCGCGGAAATTGATTGACTTGCTTGCTGTCAACAAAGGTGATTGGAAGGCCATGCAACGCAGTGGTTTTATATTGTACAGCGAGTAACGGCAAGAACCCATCAAGATGGATTTTAGTCAACGCACACAGCCACGAAACGACAAGTTGCTTTAGTAGGCTAATCGAGCTTGCATTCGCTTGAAAAGCTATATTACTGCTGTTTACGCCCCCCCTTGTACATCTTCATAAAGAACAGATATTCAGGAGCCTCCTACTTTACGAGCATATTGTCAAACCCAGTCACCCTACACCCGCACCCCCAATGCATGTGAACAACTGCTAGGTCGTCAACACGCACGTGAAAGATGCGTTATCAGTTGACCCGGCGTACCCTTCAAGACACGGTAGTTGCTTCCCTAAGATTTGTTCCAGCAACTCCCTTGTGAGCCTTCCTGCGAACATATGCTTTACTTCCTCCTTTTCGTCTTGCCGTGGCTCAACTCCGTCCAAAATCCTTAGGGAGGGGAGCAGGTAAAGAGAATAAGAACGGTATTCTGTCTCCATGCTTAAAGGCGTGTTCCGCAGATCGAGGACACGGAGAGATGGACACCGAGACAAATGCATTAGCGACCTGCATGCGCAGTAAACGGATATGTGTAAACACGTTGAAAAACACGGAGTGCGAGTGCAGTTGTTTCTCAAGGAAATAAGATTGTTGACTTCGCATTACTTCCATTTAACATCGATAAATTTAACTTCTTGTCACCATCCCCAATTGATGCAATTCAACTGGAAAGACAAAAGCAGGAAATTATACAACTCTCATGATAACGCATACGATGCGTATACGCGCTTGTAGATGTGGATACTACGGCATATCGTTGGGCACGCGTTTATTTCTCTACTACAGCAGCGGCGAGAAACCAAAGACGTAGAAAGCTGGAGACAAGTGTCGTGAGAAGTATACACAGAAGATTGCACACATAGGCAGCCCGTTTTCAACGGCAGTTTCAAATGTGGTGCGTTTGCTTCAAAATTCGTTAGTGAATCACCGAAATGCTTGAATGTTGTTGCTGCTCAAGTACAACTGGGTAAGTGCCGGAAGGCCTTCTAAGTGTTCCAGTTGCTGCAGGTTGTTGCTTTCAGCGCAGAGGAAGACAAGGCGTTTCAGGTGTTGCATGCCGGGGGGGAAGGAGACGATACAATTGTGGGAAATGTCGAGGCACTCCAACAGGCAAAGTGACTCAATTCCTTCAAGGCTTTCAATGCTGTTGCCATCAAGGAGCAGCTCTTCAAGGAGATGCAGTCCCAGCAGACCCTGCAAAAGTGATGTGCAATGCAATACCAACGATTAAAGACAGCACAATATCGGTCAGTTTGTGCAAACCTTTGGAATTTCCTACTGAGATCGACAGCGAAGCATATGGTGTCATTTTTCAGCTGCGTGTTGGCAACCAACGTAAGCTTAAGCAGGAGGTACAGTCTGCCTTTCCCACATCTAGGCTAGTCACACAATGGTTGGGGAATAGCGGGTACGCGCCAGATGAGTGAGCATCAGGAAGGCCGAAGACCGGCGGGCCTTGCAGTAGCTGAGCCGTATGCGTGCGAGAAAAGCGAACCTGGATGCTGCTAAGATTATTTTCAGACAACTCCAGCTTTCGCAGCCCAACTAACGTGTGTATACTTGGGGCTTCGCGTAGTCGCAAAAAGGACATCTCCAAGATGTCCACCTTTTCTCTCCAATTGCTCCAGCTGAATTCAGGCCCACCTACGTGAGTTTCTAACCGGAAGTGATTGCCACCAGCATTTGGGAGATGGGAATAATGCGAAGGGGGCCAGCAAGACTTGGAACTGTTGTAAGGCCGCCAGCCACACATCCTAGCTGTTCTGATAGCAGCAGCCACGGAGCAGAGGCCCCCACAGCCCTTCGTTTGGTGTGCTGCGTCGGAATTAACCGGCTGTTGGGGCGGTGCAACAGACGGCACAGCCATTCGCGGAGTGAGAGCGTCGTTGTGGCTGTTGCTGCAGCTGCAGCTGCAGCAACAGCAGCAGAAGCAGCAGCATTGCTGAGTTGCACCCCGGCATGGAGGAAGCAACATGGCGACTGGGAGCGGGTCATGATTCTCCAACGGTCTCGAAGCTCCGCTTATCCCAGGATAACCGGTTCTAGGAATTACTAAAGAACATGCCAAGAGCTGAGCATCCTCTGCCTTACAGGTGCTGCACAAAACACAAACATGTCGAATACTTGGCGTGTGGGAGGCATTCGAAAATATAAAAAAAGAAGCAGACACTCAAACCGGCATCAGTACGCATGTAAGCATGATTACTCTATCCATTTAATATAGGTGATAGACCCATAACGGGGTCATGACCGTCTCTAGTTGTGGTCTCCCTTTGCTGGCAGCTGACAATGCAGAAGGCGACAGGCAACTCGTGTGATTACCAGTATCGCTGGCCTTGCGACTCCTCCATGGAAGAAACCTGCGCGGCTGCTGCGATTGCCCAGCACCGTGGCTCATTTGGTGTTGTTGACGGTTGCTGCAAGCCAGAGGTAGCCACCGCTGGTGCCGCTATTGCAGATGCATAGTGAGGGGCTGCTGCAGCCACATCGACCTGGGTGGGTATGGGAGCGGTTGCTGACTTCAGGGGACAAGTCAGAGGGTCTCCTGCCGATGCTGCCTGCAGCGGCCGCCCGTCCAGCAACTCCAGCGCTGGCAGCAGCTGTTGCAGCTGTTGCGAACTGTGTGACCCCATGTACAGAGGATTCCCGGCAAGCCACAGCTGCCGCAGCTGGGGAGCAGCGGTCCCTGCAAGAGTTACAGCACGAGCACAACCCTTTTGTCTCTCAAAGATTGCCCAATGAACGGTTTTGTTGAGCTTGAAGAAGTTGAGACGTTCCACTTTTTGCAGTCTTTACTGGGGTCGGAGTCATATGCTTCTTTGCTAATCCCACAGAAGTCGGAATTTAGAAACGTTATTTGCTCAAGAAGTTGGTCACCAAAAGTAACCCGGAATGTCCCGTGGAGGAATATCGCTGAATGCTGCTATCAACTACTGCGGACTCCCGCACGCTTTAGCATGGTACTTGACTACTCCTGGTTTGGCAGATGCAGCCATTCTCCTACTGCTCCTCTCTGCGCTTTTCTATTTATTTCTACGTGCGTGCGTGCGGCTGTATATCTGTGGGGTGGGCGGACCGACGGGGGTAAGATCAGACAAGAGCAGCAGGTGGTTAGCAACCAGGCACAGTTGCTGCAGACGGGGGGCCCCCCAGAAGCCGTCGAGGGTGCAGAGTTCATTAAAGCTCAAATCCAAGACCCGCAGCTCCGGTAGCTCTATCCTGCTGCTCCCGTTGGGGGCTCCTGTAACGGGGTCCGTTGGTGAACTGGGCGACTCTGATACTGGCGGGGACTCTCCAGGAGCGTCAAAGTTGCGCAAACCGTTTAGGGGCAGCAGCAGGACCTGCGCAGCATAACAATTTCTTCTACATTTCATGTAGCTAGTCTGTCTGCTGTTGATAGCATAAATTTCCTACTTGACTGCGCTCTATAGGGAAGGTGTGTCCAGCTTGTCCCTGCCCCTCTACAGTTATTTTGTGGCACCGGCAGCTAATCGCTAGCGAAAGGCTGAGGGGCATCCGCTGCAGCACCAGCGAGATATAGTGCGCTGACAGCTTTTCATGTTTAATATACTAATTAGGCGTCTGCGGGGAACCGGGGAATGTTTGCTCACCCTAAGTCTCTGAAAACTTAAAAGAACCCCTCGACTCAATGCAATGAGATGCGCATTGCTACTAAGGCTTAAAGAGAGAACATCGCCGTTGCAGTCGAGCTGCGCTTTGCAGTCACCGGCTTCCCAGAGGGATGATGCATGCTCCCCAGGGGCCTTCTGCTGTCTCCCTAAGGATCCTAATGAATAGGCATGGCGTGGGCTGCCAAAGGTCTTTAGCAAGACCTGCTGCAAGTGGCTTTCGCCGAAAACAACTTCTTCAACTGTCGATACACCCTGTATGCGCTGGAGGGCCTCAGTGCGGACATTCTCTCCACATGCCCCAGAAACCGTCTCGCAGTAGCCCTCTGCTTCGAAGGGCCGTTGCGTTCTTGTCCGTTTCGTCAGTTCCTTCATGTGAATAAACAACAGGCTCCTAGCCATGCTGAGCCAGGCACAGAGTTAAAAGGGCATCACAGTACAGCCCTGACGTGCAATACAGAGCTACTGTTATCGTTGTTTCACGGGTCTTTTCGTTCTATGTGGAGCACTGTGTTCGTCCCTCGCCAACGCATGAACACACGTTAGCAGTCGTGCAAATCGCTGTGGATACCCAAATGCGTCCAGAAAACAAAGAGGACGAGACGTACTTGATGAGGTCTACGAAGGGAGCAGCACAGCGAACTGCATCTCCTGTTCCAGAGCTGTTGTGCTGAACGCTGGCTGGGGTCGTTGATGTGCAAGTACCTGGGGCCCCAATGGGGCAGTGGGACGCCTGATCAAATTTCTGTGTTTGCGCTTCTGATTTCGTCCCCTGGGGACCTTCCGCCTCTACCGCAGACTGCCGGGCTAGCCGTGCTGCGTCTGGCGGGTCGCCAGGTGCAGCAGCTACAGTAGAGCTTGCTCCAGCAGCCGCAGCTGCTTGTGGAGTTGTTTGTTCAGTTGTCGAACTGTCCGCGGAGTTGCAACGAGCGCGAGAACTGGAAGAAAAAGAATTGCTTGAGTATGAGAACCGAACGAGAAAATGAGGAACGAGGCAGTGAGGCTCCAGAAACCACCTTGAACAGAATACAAAAGCATTGAAACACAGGACGACACTGTCTTTTACAACTTCTCGCACGTACCTGACGAGGTGAAGTTTTTACAACTGCATGTTTTAGCTGCTTGCTTTGCCCGAAACATATGCAAAAAGGCCATGCGCGTGGTGTTTGGTGTTCCTGTATTAGTTGGAGGTGTCCTACTGGGTTTGCAGTGTATCTACTCCTTCTGCCCGCCTCCCATAAAATTAGTTAACGAGTGCACCTACAGTTGAACTGACAAAGAATCCGATTTGCTATGCCTCGAGATGCTAGCTATAGCCCCGGCCGCCTATATGGTGCTCCGCGTATCACAGCGGTGCAGAGCTTACCATGTTTTTATCTGTGGATTTGATATGCGCTGCTTATAGACGCTGGCAGGCCCAGGGAGAGCGAGCGCACATAGACCTGAATCATGCGTGTTTTCAGTTGCTATGGAAAGCACAAACAAAACAAAATGTTGAGAAGCGTATTCCTGTAAGCTGTACTACACGCTGCTGTGTTTACAAAGAGGTCGAGGAACATGGCCATGCAAAAGGTACATGCATTTTGCAGTTCAGGGCAAGGCCGGTGGAATCTCAGCCTTTCAAGAAAACAAATATTTCGTATAGTTGTGAACCACCCGGTGTCAATGCTGATAAATCACGGCATGTTTGTCTATCTTCCGAGTGGGGCTGAATTCCCTTGCGTACGTTGTGTGCATTTGCTTACCGTGTTCCACTTCCGACCCGATTATAATTCCTTTGGATGGTCCTCGTTCTATCAAATTTGGGATTTCCTGGTGCGTATACCCCACGGGAGTGTCTGCCACTGACTCGTGAAGGAGGCATCGACACAGCAGAACTTCCCCGTCAGGCAGCCCCAACCGGCCGTCTCTAACTGCTTGCTGGACAATAGAGTGGTTGAAAGTCCCAGCTGTTTCTTCTTGGCTTTCCGCGTCCTCAGTCATCGATAGAGGCCGGTCGGAATGGCGAGTGTCTTTAGGCAACTCTACACTTGCTTTGGCCAACTCAAGTGTTTGCCGTGCGATGGCCTGGAACGATTCATTTGAGGTCAACGAACTGTTCATACAAACACAGAAGCCCTGCTACCGCTTTAGTAACTGACTTGATGCATACGCACGCTGCTCTCAACCAAGCAACTGCCTCCTGATTCAAGCTCTTTAAAACGTTTGCTGGGATGCTCCTAAGAGAGACCTGACCATGTCTATATTGTACCATGTATAGTGCAATCATGTATAGGAGAAGTGACTTCCTTACTAGAGACGAGGTAGATCAGCCTCAGCTAAGCCGTTTGACGCTACTATAAGAGGACAGCTGTGGAGCCCACTTCTTCGGGAAAGCAAGTCCCCATACATCCCGCTGGTGCACTGCCTGGTGAAACATCAAAAACGACTCACGAAAGCAAGTCACCATAAATCCAGCTGGCCCACTGCTTGGTGAAGCTTTAGTGGTTATATATATATATATATATATA